CCATGATCGTTTTCTCAAGTTTAGCGTGTGTGTGTGTGTGTGTGTGTGTGTGTGTGTGTGTTTGGTATATGTTTGTATTGGTTTATGTGCACATGTGTGTAGGTATCTATCCATGCATATCTATGTTTGTGGAGGTCTGAGGTCAATGCCTAGTGTCTTCCACTGTCCTTTTTCAGTTAAGTTTTGAGACAGGCTCTCCCATTGAACTTGTAGCTCATCAGTTTCGCTAAGATGGCTGGCCAGTGAGCTTCAGAGATGCCTCTGCCTTTACCTCCCTAGCTCTGGAATTAAAGGTGTTAGCAACTCCTGACTGTTGATCCAGACTAGGGTCTTCATGCTTGCATGGCAAGAAGTTTACTGACTGATGTGTCCCCTCAATTCTCATTAATAAATGCTCGAATTTATGGTATAGGGATGGTGCTTCCACTGAGGCAGATAAGCATACAGAACTTCCTTCTGGTGCCATATTGCTCATTGCCGTGGTTGATTCTTATTGTTCTGAAATGTTAACATTGTTCAGTGCTTGTATAATATTGCTGCTAAGTAATTTGGATATCGTTTCTACCATTATATTACATGATTGGCAGCTTAATATATGTGAAAGAATTAAGCAAACCAAGCAGGTAGGCAAGTCAGGCTATTTGAGGAAATTTATAAGGATTCTCATTCACCCTGGGGACACACTCTTTGTGCTATAGAAATGTAAAATCCATCATCTAGAGTGTTTTCCAATTTTATCATGAATAGGAGAGGAATGATCACTATTCTAATATTTTATTATGACTACTGGTTACTATGTACCAATCACTGGGAAAATACTTCTTTAAGTGAATTGTCTCCTTAATGGATATTTTCTTATTAATTGTGTTTTAGAGATCAGACCATTGCGAACTAAATATATTAAAGAATGTGTTGAGTTGTTAGCTAGTAAGAAGTAGAGATCAAAAGCCAGTGTACCCTTTGTATGCAGAAGGAAGGCTTGTGGTTGGTGGCTATGCCTCAGCATGTTTTGTGGGCATTCCCTTTCTAGCTGTATTTATTCTCAAGAAATGAATCTTCCTTCAAGAACACAATTCTTTTTTTGGCCCCTTCTCATGGTCACCCTCCCTGGAATGATGCTTTACATCATTTTGCACAGCTGCTTCTTACTCTAGCTATTGTATATAGAAAGGATCGGTGTTGGCATATGTGACTTGACGTGGTGTCACCCACTGGAGTTATTTCCTATTACTACCTATCACAGTTTGGGATTATTTCTTTGTCTACTTGCTTATCATCTATATATTCTATAGAAGGTAAGTTTCATGGAGGCAGGGACTTAGTCTTTCTAGTCTTGGTGTGTGTGTGTGTATTTATATGTACATTTGTGTAAAGAGGTCAGACTTATAGTGCCCAGCATCTTTCTGTATCATTTTACCTTATTTTTTTGAGACATAGTCTCTCACTGAGTCTGATACTCACAGATCCAGAAAGACTGGATGGCCAATGAGACCAAGAGCCTCCATAGCACTATAGCACAGTATTGCTTTTATGTGTTTATATTGGTTTGGGGGACCCAACGCATGCCTGCACTTTACCAGAAAAGCCATGTCCCAGCCTTGACCTGGTCCTTATACATACCTAGGTCTTCAACATTTCTGCACTGTTAACTCTATAGAGTGAGCACTCAGGATACTCATGCTCCTCGTGAAATGATGACCTGTTGTGTTTTGGGAGAATTAAAAGTCAGGAAAGCATGAGTTTGATAAAGTGGAAGTTGGTATCCCCAGCAGTCTGTCTGTGTCAGCTATTCTTACTAGCAAGCTAGTCTTAGTGGTTGTAGTGTTTGTAGTCAATAAGGTAAGAAGAGGTCTGCCACATGGCAAGGTAAAAGTACAGGAGGCAGATTCCTAAGTGGTATCAGTTGACAAATACCTATTATGGTAGAACTGGTTATCTAACATCCTATGTGAAACATTGCCTAGCTTTGTTTTTGACTATAACATATATACTTCTAGAATTTAGTATGTGTAAGGGACTATCTTGGGCATTAAAGGTGATGTATTTTCTATGAAAATCAGGAGAGAAAGGGAATCCTTACCAAATGGATCTGTTGTGAAGATTTTCTGTTAGAAGTAAAACAGTCCCAGCACCAGTGTCGGGGGTTGGGGGGGGGAGGGGCAAGCAGGATGGAGTGAGAGTTAAGATAAAAGCAGGCTCATCAAAATTCACCTAGGGGTTTGAGGGGTTTGACTGTAAAGCTCTGTTAGCAGGATGCAGGCTGTTTTACTTTCAGTGGTGTTGCAGGAGAGAAAAAAAATACCTAAGGTAGATAGGGTTTATTTTAGCTCATCCTTAGAGGTTACAGAACATCACTGCAGGGAAGTCACCATGGTGGGGGTTTGAGATAGATAGCTATGTCACTCTTAGTCAAGAGGTGAGAAAATGCATGCATGCATGCTCTCTCACTTGCTTGTGCACTGCTTTTTTTCTCTGCTTTTACACAGTTCAGGACCGCCCGCCTAGAGAATGATACCATGCCCACTGGTCTCAATAATTCCATATCAATTAACATAATGAAGACAGCCCACCACAGCATCCTCATAGATCACAGGCCAACCCAAGGCAGACTGCCCCATATTGAAACTCTCTTTCTAGGTCATTCTAGGTTGTCTCAAGTTGACCATTTGAGTCAACTATCATGTAGATGCCTTTTCTCCTCAATTAGAGGTGGACATATGCAAGTTTTTCAGTATGTTAGTGATATCCAACAATTGCTGTTCACAAATGGGAGATCTGGAATGATAAAATGGAGAAGGAGTCCAGGGCTAGATAGCAGGTCCATTGTTTTACCAGAGTGGACAAGCTTTGGGTAGACTCTGCCTAGAGCCCATCTTTGTCAACCTTTGCGATGGAGGAAATCAGAAGCAGGAGGTCACGGTGTCTGTAAGTTCAAGTATGTTTGATTCAGGGTAGACTTCCAGCAATTGAGAGTGGTAGCATAGATTTAAGTTCTATGCCTGTGCCTGGGTGGAGTCGGGCCCCTCAATGTTTCCCCACAGATAGGGAGGGGCTCTCGAGGCCCACCCTTTCCTGAGGAGCCATTGGGAGTTAGATGTTGCTAGCAGAGGAGATGGTGTTTTCTTCAGTGGTGTAGGCACTGGTAAGTTGCCCATGCTCTGGTAGATAACTACACTGAATCATGAAAGCAACTCAGTAAGTTACATTCACATGCATGCACACATACACACACACATGTAATGCACACCCATATGTGCACACACATGTGTATACACACATGCACACATGCATACACACAGCAGGTAGGGGACTTGTTGGGAAGAAGAAGAAGGGGTTCAGTGGGAGAGAGAGAGGTAGAGCCAGGGGGAGAGGGGAGAAAATAACCACAATTTAGTATATATGTGTGGAAAATTGTCAAAGAGTAAACAAACAAAAGACTAATTTGCATGACATTTTGTTAAGTCCTTCTGTATTGGCTCTACTTAGCTATCTTGTTTTGGAGGATAACAGGCAATTTCTGTATTTTCAGCAGAAATTTTTGAATCACCAAAGGAGTACTGAATTTTATTCAGGGATAGTTAAGGTTACCTGTGGATATTTATTGATTCATGTTAAGTTATAATCTACTATTCAACAATTCCCACACACATTGTTCGATTGATGTAATTGAACTTCAGCAGTTGAGAAAAAAAAAGAGAGACTTTCAGAAAGGCTACATGACATGTCCACGGTCACATGACCAAAGGATAAGGGAGCCTGGATTCAAATCCATTTCTTTTTTAAAGTATAAATTTTTTTATCAATTTATTGAGAATTTCACATGTGCATAATATATATTTTGGTTATATTCACTTCTCATCCATAGCTTTAACTCTCCTAGAATCCATCTTCCATTCTTTCAACTTCATTCCCTTAAAATAATAAATAAACCACAGAGCCAGACTTGTGTCATCTGTGTTGTATAGGTATAGGGACACTGTAGCATGGTGAACCAAGGGACACTCCTAGTTATTTCTTTTACAGTTGGTGAAAATTGGAACTTAATACGTGGGATGATCTTTACTTATTGTAGAATAAGCAACATCAGTGCAATTCCTAAAGAGCTGTATGTTAAAAAGCAGTGAGTCTTCTAAAAATAGTCATTGACTGTGATGGCATCACCCACAATTCACTGACACTGTCTTCCTAAAAAAAAAAAAAGAAAGAAAGAAAGAAGAATAGATCTTATAATGCTCAAAAATTTAAAAGACATTTTAAAAGACTTATTTTAATTTTAAAATTATATGTCTATATATGTCTGTGTGGGTGTCTTTGCATGTAAGTACAGTTGCCTATGGAAGCCAGAAGAGAGCATCAGATCCCATGAGTTGAAGTTACATGTGGTTACACCAGATATGGGTGATACTCATATCCTCTACAAAGGCAATAGGTGCTCTGGACCATCTCTTGCTCCTTATGTGATGTTCTGACAATTAAATATTGGCGATAATGTGTAAGCTTTGTGTTTTCCTTGTTGGGTCTTAGACTCAATAATTCTTGGTTATGGAGTATGGTTTTGTGAGTTTGAGCTCATGAGATTTGCAGACAGCACCTGAGTGTATAGAAATAGAACGCATCTGGCAGATGGAAAGAGGACAAGTATGGATCAAGTGTGGCGTGACACAGACCATCTGCTTTTGGCTACAGTCTGCTGGTTTAACATGCGAGTCCATTCCCTGACTCTGGAAGCAGAACCTATAAAAAAAAAAATACAAGCACCTCCAAAAAGATGGCTCTGTGTGTGCCACTAAGAGAAGTCTTGTGTGCTGAGAAGTCTGGTTTTACACTGACTGTTTGGGTCTGGGTAGTTTTTTGGCCCTAGTTTCTGATAGGACCATTGCAGAATGAAAAGTCTTAAATGCTGCGTCCTTGATAACAAAACATGTGTTCACTTTTTGCAGTGGCTGTGGATGCAGACGGGGGATTCTTATAAATTGCAAAGGAAAATACATCACTCATCCATGGAGGGGAAGAGACAGCTGGATAGAAGGGACTTCAGTAAAAGACTCTCTCTGGACAGCAGTCTTGTGGTAAGTGCTAAATATTCACTGACCACTGTATGTGCTTTGGCTTCAAATCCGTTATTTTTTGACTGTTACTTCCTGAACACTCTGCTCCTAAAACCCTGATTCCATTTACCCCATTAAGTTACATCCCTTGGGATTTAGGCTCATTTATTTTTTACAAACTCAAAAGCCAGAAAATTATTGGAATGTTTGTACAGTGTCTTAATAGGTAAATGCCATAATCTGTCAGCATTACATATAATTACATTAATTCTGGCTGAAATAGACATTAGCCTATACAAAAATGGGCCTGTGCCTCGGGTCCATTTGTGTAGGATGCCAGCGCTATGTGTACTTTTGCACAATCCAATTCACTACGAAGCTAACCTGAACAAAAGTTCAATACAGTTTCAAGTGTTGAAGAGCCAAGAGAGTAGCTGAGTGCTTCTTGGCTGTATATTCATTCTGTTCTACATAACATTTCTGAAAGTTCTTACTCCAGTTCTTTTTAAAAATGTAATTTAGCATCTGTGCAGAAGTTGTACATGTGTGTGTGTGAATGTGTGAATGCATGGGCAGATCAGAGAACTGTTTTCAGAAGGCTGTTTCTGTCTTCTACCTAACGAGGAGGCAAAGTCTCTCTTGTTTTTGCTGCTGTGCTGTGTACTCTAAGGTAGCTGGCCTTAGAACTTACCACTGGCCCTCCTGCCTTCGAATCCCATCTTGCCATAGAAGTCTGGGAATTTCAATGAACACTACCTTATCTAGCTTGTTGTGCTAGCTCCAAATTTAGGTGTTTGTTTGTTTGTTTGTTTTTACCAACTGAACCATATTGCTGGCCCCACTGGACAGCATTCTTAACAGCCTGGTTGGGATCACCTTTGAGTGTGAGCATCTGGTTAGTCCAAAGAAGCAGCTTAAATTGCAGTGCTTGGAGACTTGGCTTCTTTTCCACAGCTCCTAGACCCATATATGTAAATCACCTTCTCTGTTCCATGATACATGTGAACACAGGAAGAAATTAGATGAAGACAATAGCTTAGCATGATTTCATCATTAGTGAAACATAGTTTTCTTTTAGTCCCTTCTTTTGTGCGAGTTACAGGGATGTGCTGTGCTCCTAGCAACTGGGATGGAGACCGGTTCGTAGAGTATGATGGACTAAACATTTGTTGAGGGTTAGGGTCATGAGTCCCTGAGTTCTATTCCAGGTACTCATGTTAAAAAGCCAGGTGTGGTGCCAGTGCTGGACAGTGGAGACAGGTGACCTCTGAGGCTCTTTGGACAGTTGGCAACGCTTATTTGGTCAGTTTAGGCTCATGATGACTCTTAGCATCATCAAGGTATGTAGGGTTGTCGGGCCCTGCGTCCATTCTGCCACAGGGCTCCACCACTTGACGAGCAGGATGCGGAAAGTTTGACTGCACTTAACCCCATGCCATCGCAGGGCAGAGTGCCCAGCAGGTGCTGGGCCATAGGTAAGCACTAAGGCACTGCTCAGGGGTAGGGAAGCTCAGTCTGAGGCACAGGACAGCCAGAGCTGGTTTGGGGGTACCCAGGCCTGCAAAGAGGGTTCTCAGGCTCTTGGACACTCAGGCGCCACTGAAAGTCGCTGAAGAGTTGAGAATGGAATTTGGGCCTGATGGCGGACAATGGACTCTGGCCTAAAGAGTCACTGTCTAGTCTCCCGTAGAAGGCCGCTCTGCATTCCCAGTCACAACCGCTGCTAAGTTCAAGCCAAGCCTCTGCCTGCCCAGCCAAGGATTCTCCCTGCAGGCATGGCTCCCCACAGCAGATCCTGATGAAACAAAGCATTCCTTAGTTTTAAGGCATTTATTGTCATGGCGGAAAGTGGATGAGTAAAACCATACTCCTCTTCTCAGGGTTGGCCTGAGATTAAATAACTTTTACAGGGAGGAATATCTGAGAAGGAGAGTTTATTGGCTAAGCCCTCCAGACCTCTAGGTACCTCATTAGAATGGCTAGGCGACATAATAACAGGCCACATCTTTTTCATCACTATCATGTAGAAGGGCTTGGGGTGTTGCCTTTATGTGACTGATGGCCACAAATCTATGGAAGGCTTTGGCTAGCGACAGGGGCTTGGTGCCCAGGAGCAAGTCAGTATCTCTAGGGCTTCCAAGCCTTGCTCAACCGAGGACCAGGCTGCCTTTCATGGTACCACAAAGATGGACAGTGGAGCTTAAGGGATAACAATTAGATGGCCTGCCAGCCTACACTTACACATACACACATGCACACTAATGGGCAACTCTCCCATCCCACAGTTACTGAGCTGCTTTATCAGTTGTGTCTCTCCATCTCTGCTTTGAATCCAGGGTTGTTTGTTTGTTTTATCTACAGTCTTTGTTGTTGTTTTTTTTTTTCTGTGATCATAGCCATTTCCCTTTAAAACAGCTGTTTTTAACCTTCCTAAGGTTGCAACCGTTTAATACAGTTCCTCATGTTGTAGTGAGCCCCAACCATAAAATTATTCTCATTGCTGTTTCATAAATGTAATTTTGCTACTGTCATGAATCATAATGTAAATACTTTTTTGGTGATAAAAGTTTGCTAAAGGGGTCAAGACCTGTGTGTTGAGAACCATTTCCTTAAAGCTTTTCAGGAGTGGGGTTGTGAGTCCCTAGAAGAGGGCATGTGTTCTCATGTGAGGTTCTTCATGTGACTCAGAATCTGGCCTCTGGCCGTGGGCTCAGCATGCTCTTGGAGGCTAAGGACTTGGGTGACATTTTAAGGGTTCTTTTCTGTGGCTACAACTATACCTCATACCCTACATCATATGGTATCTGCATGGAAAGTGCGTGAATGAGCTGTGCATTCTCATGTTTCAACTCCCCTTTCAACGTCTGGGAAAACTGGTAATGAGGGGTAATTTCTCAGCCTCTTCTGCAGAAGGAAATCTTCATGAACATTGACATGCCAAGATTCGGGTCTGACTTGGGCTTGGGCAGAGACAGCAGCAGCCATATGGTATGACAAGAACAGTTCAAAAAAGCTCTTTTAATCCAGAAATAGTGTCCTGGTTGGTTGGTTTCCAGAGCTGCGTATTTCTGCCTCCAGTCTCAAGTAATATGCAAATATCCTATAAAGGCAAACATGCTAAGCTATCATCTTTCAATACTTCATAGTTTCAGTCCTTAGTAAAACACCTTGGATCAATTCAGAATGTGAAGAGCAGAATTTTACGGAGGCTGTTGGTAAATAGGTTGTATATAGTTATTTATTTTATGTATGTATACACATGTTTACATGCCATGGCATGTATGTAGAGGAAAGGGACAATTTTCTGGGTCAGTTCTTTGTTTCTCTCATGTGAGTATTGAGGACTACACTCAGATCATCAGGCTTGGTGGCAGGTACCTTTACCCACTGAGCTACCATGTTGGCACCCACAATGTTTTTTGAGATACAGGGTCTCTTCTTGACATGGAAGTTTTCAAATGGACAAGACTGGTGGGCCAGTGAGCCTTAGAGATCCACCTGTCCTTGCATCCCCACCTCTGGGATTATAAGCATGTACCATCAGATGCAGCTTTTCACAAGAATTCTGGTGATCAAACTCCGAACCTCCTGATTGCACACCAAGCCCTTTACCACATGTGCTGTCTTGCTGGTGCCCTTCTGGTTTTTGAGAGAAGGCCTCTTGCTAGCTTGGAATCTACCAAGTAGGTTACACTGGCTAGCCAGCAAGTCCCAAGGATCTTGCTGTTTCTGTCACCCCCAGCATAGGGATCTCCAGCTTGTTCTGGCAAGCCTGATGTATTGTTTTGTTTTGATTTTGTTTCTCCCGACATAGATTTTGGCAATAGAACTTACGCTTGCAAGTCAAATACTTTACCAACTGAGTCGTCGTCAACTTTCTAGCTTTGTAAAACTTTTAAATCACAGACACAGCAAAGGTACTTGCTTTTCTTAAAATTAACCAGGAGGATAACACCAGGCAGAGGGCACAGGTCTCCATCTTTTATTCCTGTTCCTTGTCTTTCACTCCCAGAAAGAGATGCCCTTTGGGGAAACTGACGTGACAGAAAAGAAACATGGAGTCCTTACGTCTCGAAACTCCAGCACAATTACCATCATGATGAAAATTTGTGAAAGTTAGGAGACCCAGAGGTGATTTCCTCATTCAGATTTTGCAGGAGAAATTTCCTCCTCATGAACCCTAAGAATAAGGCACTATTAACTTTAGTACCTTTTTATTTTACTTAATCAAATCGTGAAGTGTTAAGTTAGAAACTATGGCTCTCTTGCAATGGCTTTTAAATATTTCTCAGGCTAGAAGAACCGTAGAACGATGTACCTTAGTTTAGTAACAACTTTTAGGACTAGGTATGGAGGGATTTTAAATGTGTGTGTGTGTGTGTGTGTGTGCGCGCGCACGCGCGCGCGTGTACATGCATTCAAGAGCACATGTTCAGGTTGGCGGATGACCTCTGGTGTTGATTGGTCCTCACTCTCTGCTTCTTTTGAGGCAGGATGTTGTTTTGTTCCCCATAATGTACACCAGGCCTTGAAAAACGTAGTACTGAGCCCACCGGCCCTCCATCAGTGCAGCTTGTCTGTATGTTGGGGATGGGTCTGAATCAAAGGCTAGAAGTCAGAATATGGAGGACTGAGAGGGTGCACTCAGGATAACTAGTTGCTAGAAGTCTTGAAGGGTCTAGAGCAGGACCCAAGAAGGACAAGGCACCTGCCGTTTACTGTAACACCAGTTCGGAGGACAGTGAGTGGAGGATGCAAATTCCAAGCACCAGGCATAGGCATGTCAGCAGGCATGGGGTCTGCTGGTATCTAACTCCAAAACTACCTTAGCTGGCAGCTCTGGGTGTTTGGTTGGCAAATTACACATTGAGGTTAGACCACAGTGGTTTCTTTCCTTTAGTCATACTAGCTGAGATTTATTGAAGTTTAATACATGTCAGACAGTCTACTCAGAGGTTTATATAGAAATACTTGGCTAATACAACAACCCTTTAAAGTAAGAATTCTAACTCTCCTACTTT